TAAATGTCTGAGCAAACATTGTGAGACAAAAAATAACATATGCATTCATAATGCACAATGTTCATTTCTTCCTCCTTTCTTTTATTGGAGCTTTAGAAAATTGCTTTTTGATGATTTGGCAAATTGTATTTATTTTTAAATGAATCTCATTTATTGAGATTGATAATTCCAGGTTTCATTGCTTTGAAATTGCATTTTCCAATTGTTTCCAATGATAAGTTCTGGCAAAATGTGGTCTAACATGAAAGTCAAATAAAGACTCAAAAAAATCAGTTAACCTACTCCATAAATGTACTAATCTTTTAAACAAAATTCAAAACATAGTGAGAGTAAAGTAAAAAATTAATAGCACAACTGTGACACTAAATTCTTTAAGAACAGGTGAGCATTTAAATAAACACAAAACTATTAAATAAACCTTCCTTTTAAGAAAATCTTTAAAAACTTGGTCATTGTGTCCAAATGTATTTTCTATCTCTGTTATCATAGATGGAACATAATAAAATCAGTAATCAATGCTTATTTAAAACAATTGTTGTTATTCAAGTCACCAAGTAACATGAGAGATAAAACAGTCTGACTTATTTTATAGTACTAGACTGGAAGGAGGGCTCTGGAGGACTGCAAAGGGCCATGTGCCTTCTAAGTCTTCAGAACACAGTCACGTTCTCCTTAGTAATGCTTCAGTATTAAGGTCATTTTTAGTAAAAACCAGATCTCAATGAACTTTGAAAGGTGAGTTCATGGTAACTTCTGTGCCAGGCCTCAAAGATGATATGAAGAAAATGTTTTCAAAAATTCCAAAATACAGTGAGAACAAGACCTCACTCTATTTTTGGAGTCAACATTTTAAAAGACAATATATAACCAGTTCTACAAGCACTCACACAAGGTAGGCACGCACACTTGCATGCTCGCACACATGGAAACGGAAAGACCTCTCACTAGACAGATATCTCATGTGTAGATGAGTTCTTGTGGGTTTTGCAGTTGTGCTTATGTAGTCAAGAAGTTCTCAAAAAGACCCTTTAGGATTCCCAACAAAGGTCCAATTAAGAAAGACAGGTTTTTCATTCCCCTACCCCATCTCCCTGCCCTTTAAAGAGAAAAGATTCTGGATTCAGGCTGACTTTTGGAAACCCTTATGCTTCTACGTTATTTTCAAAGAAAAGCATTCCATCTAAGCATTAGGTAGTTAGAAAATTGTTATCTCCCCTATATTAAATCAACACCACAGAATAAAGATCTTTGCATAGTCCTAGATTTAAAATCCACTTTCTTATTCTTTCCCTGTGGACTGCAAAAAAAAAAAAAAAAAGTTAAATTCAAATCTGTTGACATTTAAGAGTACCCACTCTGTGGTATGGCATGGAATGCTTTAGGGAGTAACATTCTCATTTAAGTGCAAAGCTTGTATTTCCATTCTGTGAGGATGCAGAAAATATATTTTTCACTGATGTTTCTAGGTAAGGGGCAAAATGAAATGGAATACTATTAATTATGGTCCATAAATTATACTCTGCCTTTCAACTAGTTCAGGTAAGACTACTATTGATTGCTAGTAAATTCTGGCCATAATCCTTTACTAGGCCAGAAAGGAAGGCAAGGGAACTCATTTCTCTACTCTTCCCCATTTCCCTGACAACAAAAATTTTATTTTTGAAGTATGAATTCTAGGCATACCAAACATTACATAAAAAGAAACAAATAAAATTGAGTTCTAGGGTACATTAGCTTACTGCTTAAACCTTTAGTTAAAATAAAAGGTAAGTAGGGTTGTAACAGATTTTAACAATGCACACAAAGAAACCTAACCGCAAAATTAAACATAAAAGATGCATTGTCCTTTTTGGTTCTTAACACATACAACCCCCAAATAGCAAACTCCTGGTTCTTCTTTAAATAAGCAGATTAAAAACAAGATTAACAAAACATCCAATGCATGTCAAATTATAGCCTCTACTATAAAAATTCTATTGGTTGTAAAACTCTGTTGGTGGCCATATTGGCCTAGGATTTTTAATATAAATGAGACCAGAAATGACAGGGATTGGGGAAGGGAGGTTCCTTCTTGAATAAAGAGGAAAATTTTTATCTACAATGAGTTATCTGAAGGATGAAGAACCAAGTAAGGGCTCACCAAAATCTGAAAATACGATGGAGTTTAAAATACAAGAGTACTGCTGTATTATTAAAGACTTTAAAAACTTCCAAATATTTTGAAGGAGGTAAAAATATTAACTATTTGAGAAAATTATATAATTGCTAAGTTAAAATGATTTTCTCATGCAGATCTCCAATTTGATAATCTACAGAAATTAAGTTATATATTTTATAGGTATTAAAATGGCATAGCCATAAGTTATTACAATATAAATATATGTATCTCTGTGTATAGTATTTTAGAGCTTTGTTGGTTTATACTATTTAGAATGATGGTTTAGTTTTATTAATGTAGTAAAGTTTGGTTAAAAAACCATTCTACTTGGATACAAGTTGTTAGAGACTTCATTTTATCTCTCAGTTTTCATATTACTGAAAATAGTGAACACTTTTATAACTTTCTTCTTAATTCTAAATAATTCTTAAGGAATTTTTAATTGAGAACATTTCAAAAGTCCATTTATACAAATTGACTTTACCACCTTATGTATTTGAGCAATAATATTCTGTTTAACCTATACTTTTTTTTTTTTTAAAGATGATGATTCCTGGAAAGATCCTAACATGTAGTTGCTAAAATTTAAATTGCTTTCTAAATAATCTCATCTTAACAGACTGGGAAGCAGATAAAAGCAATTGAAAAGTTCCCAAATAACACATTTCCAACCAGAAAAACTAGTCAATCCTCCCCACCCTCTCAACATAGCTATGTTTATTTGGAATAAGAAAAACACTTTTTGATTAGAAAAATAAATTAATCCATTATTAAGTATAGAAAGTTTCAGAGTTTTAAGCAGACTGACTGAAATGAGTACACAATGACAATTCTAACCTAGGTTTCATTACTTGGTCATTGCTCTGATTGATGCCACATTCACGTGTGAGGGCTACTATGAGTCAATAGATGGCAGTCCATCGCCTAGTAAAAGAGCTAAAGATGACTAAAATCACCACGCATCTTGCTTTTACTCAAGAATGAATACTGCTTAGCTGTATATATTTGGATACTGCCTATAAACTGAGAATTTAAATAATTAAAAATTTTATTTAAAAGGCACCAACATATACATATATACATAGACATATCCTTAAATATAGTAGTTTAACATGTATTCTTGCATGGCAAATTCATGAATTTAAACCCACTAGTTATGAGTTGTGATGTTTAAGATTGTTCTGAAAAATTAACCACAGGATTCCAGATTGGGACACAGAGTTACCAAATTAAATGTGTTATATCTATAGTTACAGTATACTATAATTCCCCCAAAAGGCAAATTCATTGTTTTAATTTACTTTTTCTTAACTATTCGTTTTACAATTTAAGTTTCTTTTTGAAAAGCTAAAATATTAAACAAACTGTCAACCATTTTTATGGTTATAATGAAACCGGTCTTTAGCCTTCAATGTCAGTTAGGTGAAAACAATGAAGAGCGACTGTAAAAATAGTACTTTCCATTCTTGAAGTTTTGATTGGAATTCTCTAAATGTGGGGAAAAGTTAAAAAAAATGCAAATATACCAAAACTACTAGGATATTACATAATAAAAATAATGCTACATAGTTACAAAGTGATCTTGAAACCTATAAGATATGATTAAATTCTAATTAGGTTTAGGCTGTAAGGGTTTCATCATACATATTATGTTAGGATAAAAAAAGTGTAACCTGAGCACAACATATTCAAATGAAAAACATATGTAATAAGTATGTATAGTGTATATGAGTGTACAGCATAACAATAAAGATTTTAACAAATCCTAATTTGGGATTTAAGGAATAGTTGAGAAATCAGTTTTCTACTGAAAACTTTGAAACACGTTAAATGCAGTAACAAAGGTGAAAACAAACCACCTGATATTTCTGGCTTCTTGAGCCCGTGATGGATTATTAGTTTCAGTCTATTTACTGGTTTGCATTTTACTTCTCTAAGAGGAAAGTAGTGAGAAGAAAGACACACTTCACAAAAACTTTGCTCTATTTTTACTAATTATCTTACTATTCATTTTTTTACATGGTAAACTTTAAAGGACAACTTTGAATAAGCATTAATTAATATTACATAACTGTACAATTAAAGGACTAATTATCTCTTGCTCAGCTAACATATTTAATACACTAAAACAAATGAGAGGTAGGGCTATGTTGAATTACTGAAATTATTTAAGTTGAATGTTAACAGTAAATTGGCTTGATAATAACAGCCAGTAAGATTCTATATCAAAACTTTGTTTTCTGCTTCTATTTGGACTAAAATCACAATGAAAGGAAACAGGAATTGAAAAATTGAATGGTATTAAGCAGATATTTATACATTTCAGATAAGTCAAGAAGGACTTATGGATATGACAGTTGAACTGTTCTACAGGAAAGATATACTAAGCTTTTTCTAGTTTAATCTAAAGATGCATAAATATTTTAGTAACAGCAGAAAAATGATAATGGAACTTACTGTGGATGATATGCTTGTGAACTGTAGAAAATTCAAATATTTTAAAGACACTGAATTATTACTATTTTTATGGTTCTTAGCATACTTTTCCCCTTTAATTCAATGACTGTAGTTTAGAAAAACTGAGAAATTCCATGATACAATCATTAAATGAGATAACTCATAAAAGACAATAAAATATTTTTAAGAATAGTAGCTAAAGGATAAGTAGGGTAGTGGACAGAGGAGAAGAGAAAAAGTATATTATTGCTTTCTCAGTACAGGAACTCTTCAGATGTTTATTATCTTCCAGCAAAAGATGCTTGTCTATATTTTATGGTCAGCAGTTCAGAGAAGGGTAAACAGGCTGGGTCTTGGGGAAAATAAAAAAGGTGTTTCTACTCAC